TAGCTTTACAATAATCCATTTTTTATTCAGGCTTCAATGACGGAACGTGAGAATCAGTCTTGAACTCTTTTGTAATAAATTATACTAGAGGTCCTACAGTTGTCGAAAACTCAAACAAAAATAAGTAACTTCTCTATTTTCACCCCATGCTGTATCTTCAATTTGTTTTGATTTTCATTTATATTTTGTTGTTATTTTGTCACCAGCACGACAACCCATAAGGCAATGTTATTTTTTTATATTTTAAATTCATTTTTTTTTGCTTATTTTTTAGTCTATTTTAATTTATAAAGGGTTTCTGCACATCTTTCTAACAGTGTGCGTAGATTTTCCCTGCGATGCTCTCAAGGTGAAAATTGTTTTAAAGAAACATGTTAGCTTGCCTAAAAGGATTAAAGTAAAATTTGCTATAAAACAGTATAATTGAAAATCTACAGTCAATACTTATATTTGAAATTTATCAAATATGGAATGTGAACAAAGCCTTCTAATATTATTTATGTATAGTAAAACCTTGACTAACCAAATTATAATATAATACCTAAAAATACTCGTTACAAAACGTCTGCTCCTTGCTGTATTTAATTCTGTCTTAAGTTCTGTTGTAACAATAGGTTTAAAGTGTATGCTATTTTTAAAATTAGTGAAAATGTACGTATACAGCTGACCCTCGGCCCCTGTAGGTCCTTTGGGGCCCCCAAATGCCCCCCTGTGTGCACCACTGGTAACACCACTCTGTATCGTCTCACTTTATTCCACACTCATCTGCATCAAGTCAGATTAAAATATACACTTTGATACCATTCTAAAGTGATGATAATGATGATGATAACTTATAACTTAAGGGTATACTGACTTTGTAGCTACAGTACTTGTCTTGTCTAAACTATGCAGTATTGAAGTTTTTTAAATTATTTTTTCCCCATATTCAATCCCATACATCTTACGGCATATGTGTATATCCTGGCATATGTTGTCTACCTCAAAATCAAATCTGGACTAAATTTTCACGATATGGAAGAAATCTATCAGAGCTATATGTTAAAAATGAGCAATGATGATTCTGCATAAAAACACTTTAAACTTTTAAGAATCCTCACTGTTTATGGTTTATATGTTCTTGACTGTATGTTTGTAAAAAAAATTCTAACCCACCAATTAAAGAAAACAATCATAACTACAATACACATAACAAAAATAACTCTGTACCCTAATTGGAAATCATAAATTAGAGCTCTTAAAAAAGACTGTCAATGCAGGACATGAAATTTACAAATTTATTCCTTTGAAAATCAAAACAGAACAAAAACACAATATTTTTAAAAACGCCTCATGGAGTAATTGATGGAACTGTCCTTATACTCTATAGATGAATTAAAAATGGCTTTGTCTACTCTTAAGCATTAGTTTTTAATGGATTTGACACAATTAAAGTAGGCTACAACCATGTATACTTATGAATACTGATTCTTGACTATGACTATAAACCTTTTAGAGATGAATGTTATAAACATTCACTTGCTATACAATAAAGCACTCTTCATCATTAGACTAACCAAAAATGGCAACTGGGTTAGTGACTAGAAATTTTTAAATTGAAGACAAACTGCATCAACCTCACTGTTTCCTAGTCAGTAATTTCAAGGAAAACATTTCCGTAATAATTTTCAAATAAGTTTTTTGTCCTTTAACCCTTTCAGAACTAGGGCAATAATTTGTATTTCGTAAGTTTTTTTGTTTGCATTTTAATTCCATTAATTTTTTTAAATTTTAACTGTATTGTTGTCACTATTTTATTAATAAGGCTAATTTTTAATAACAAGACAATAACAAATATATAACAAAGAAAAGTCTGGGTATTTGTAGTAAACATTAAATAAAACTTTTTGTTTGTCTTTTTGTTTTTGTTGTAAATTTCCAAGTTTTCTTATAAATTGTAATGATCTGATGGCATTGTTTGAAACAAAAATCTCATAAAATCAAAAGACATCTAGTTGTCAATGTAATATTGAATTTGACCTTGATTTAGTTTGATAAGGTCTATTGTCTATTGTCTATTGGCTATAACATAGCCATTTTAGGAAAAATAGTTTTTGCAGCAAAGCCTCGGTAACACAATTTATGATCACTGTTATCGTTAAACTGAAAAATATTATCTAAATAGTCCGTGACTAACTAGTGCTGCTAGTTGGCGTCAGCTTTAATACCGGGTTTTGACTCATCAGTCTCCAAGCACAGATAGCCGAGGAGGCTAGGGCGTGTGTCAATTGGCCAGTGGCATTCGTTTGCTCGGGTTCGATTCCCGTCCTGTGTGGCAAATAATTGGTGACCTGTGTGTTTGTAGCCATATACAACAACCACTGGGGCATAGTGATGTGTTCATAATCCTTGGTTTAGACATACACCTCGAATCATCGGATTGGGCGAATCTTTTAGCTAAGTGGTTGTTAGTTTATCCTATAAACATGCAGGTCACCAATGGCCGTTTTGCTACTTTTTATTAAAATTACCTTCCTCTCTATATCCCTTAGAGATTTTAGTAAACGCCGATATATCGTCACATAGCACTCAAAGGGTTAAGTGAACTTGTTTATTTTTATTTTTTTTATTCCAAAAATATATTACCTGAGAGAGCAGCTCTGTATTGGTTGAAAACTCCTCCACCCCATGATCCTCCGAGTGGTCCCATTACGTCTTGATGTGGACTATCTGAAAAAAAATTATTCAACGTAAAATACTTTGCAGATCTGTAAGAAATACCCTTTATTTCCAGGAAGGTACCATAAATGTATTTAGGATAAACATGAGTGGAGGGATTCTACCAAATGATCTACAAACAGTCAAATTGAACTAGGAATGACTTTTGGCTATGGATTTGTCATTGGTCGGCATATTTCTTTTTAGGGTGGTTCTTTGTTTAATAACAAATTTTTGGAGGTTATTGCTTGTTAGGAGAGGTTTTTGCTGTGTCCAAAAATTTCACTCAAGGACGTCGATCAGGATTGAGAATAGGTTTGGGTGCAACTCCATCGAACTAACTAGAAGGGCTAGGTCACATTGTGTTTAGTCTGATCTTATATTTAATGTATATACCTAACGTAACTAGAATAAGAAGTTGAGTTACAAATTTTGACTTGGTCTCTTAGCAAAATTCGCAAAAGGTGATGATGATTGTTTATGAGTGAAGGTTCCGTACCAAAAATATTTCAATGCGATAAGTCCACCTTGAGTTCTGTCCATTTTCCTGATTTTTTAAAGAAAGAAACTATGCATCAACGGCAACATGCGAGTCAGCTAGTGTTGTTATTGACCCCATCTTGATTGAGTTGGAGAGGATTCGTCAAGAAGAACTAAGGGTTTTATAAATACACAAAAAAGTAACACAAAAGCTGAAATTTTGTCCTAATATAGAACTTCTTCAGAGGTATTAACTTTTTATAAAGGGTGATTTTTTTATTGGTGCGGTTTTTAAAACTAAATAAAAAATTAAAACAACCTGCATTGACATAAAAATGCATTTATTTGAACTACAGTGTCATGACATTAACGTTTAAAAAGGATTTCTGGCATATGGGCTCCATTCCGTTCGCGTAGAAAGCTCAATCGAGAAGTCCAATTTTCGAATACTCTTTCCAGCAGCTGTGGTTGAATTCCGCCAATAACTCGACGATCCAAGTCATTTAAAGTTTCAACGCTATCGGGCAATGTTACGGGACTTTTTCGTTCTTCAGCTAAACGAACTTGAAGTGGATTTAGAAAATGTCTGGTTCCAACAAGACGGCGCGACGCGCCACACGGCAAACGACACAATTGGCCTCTTGGCAGAAACATTTGGTAAACGTATCATCTCATTTAGAGGTAGTGTCAACTGGCCCCCACGGTCGTGCGATATCACACCAACAGACTTCTTTCTGAGGGGATATGTTAATTCTCAAGTACACGCTGACAAGTCACGAACTTTAAATGACTTGGAAGCTAACATTCGTCGAGTTATTGGCGGAATTCAACCACAGCTGCTGGAAAGAGTATTCGAAAATTGGACTTCTCGATTGGGCTTTCTACGCAAACGGAATGGAGCCCATATGCCAGAAATCATTTTTAAACGTTAATGTCATGACACTGTAGTTCAAATAAATGCATTTTTATGTCAATGCATGTTGTTTTAAATTTTTTATTTAGTTTTAAAAACCGCACCAATAAAAAAATCACCCTATATTAGTAGTACTGCTCCTGAACTTTCAGTTCTTAAGATAACCAGCTGAACTTTAATCTGCAAAACCTTAATCAGCCATATTCTTTTTACTGAAATACATAATAAATAACTAAATGTATCATTGCATATACCTATTTATAGCAACAGACCCTTAATCGGATCCAAGTACAGCACAAATACCCCAAATTTTGATTGCTCAATTTCAAGAATGTTGGCAAAACCTCCAAACAAAATGTTGTTTAAAATAAACAATTAGATAACATACCAAGTTCCATGACTACCGAACCTTCCTTAACGAACGCAAGATCCTAGAACGCACCAAACACATATGTGCTTTGAGTAAACACTAACACATTTCTTATGCTGCATCATGGTTTCTTAGAACAATTAGTGAGCCAACAATGGGTTCATCAACTGCCAGTAATCAAGGCATTCAAGGCCATGAACAGCTGTTCCCAAACATTTGTTCTCTAATTAGATCAAAGTTGTACAAGGCTTTAAGATGTATTATCTGATGACAGTGAAAATCATCAGTTAGATTTAATTAGTAAGTATGCATAACAATGAATGTTTACCAAAAGGTGTTTTGAGTAAGTTTGATCAACGTCAAAATATTTGCCTCAGTTTACAGGGTGAGGGAAGGTGGAGGATTAATTCCCCTACAGTCTTGTGTGTCTGACAATACCAAAACTTCGCTTGTCTTGTGTGATTGTTGGTATTCAATTATTACCTTTTATATAAAGTTTTACTGATAGTGTTTTGGACTTTTATTGATTGGGGTTCCTAAAACATAAACGGTTTTTTTGTTGACTACAAACGGTGGTATGGATTTTTACAAAGCTATAGACACCACCAGATGTCTAATTTCAATGGAGTTTGGTATGTAGGAAATTCTAACTTTATAATGTATTCCTATTTGTAGTGTGTGAAAAAAGGACAAGAGTCACAATATGTGGTAATCTTTTTACCGATCCAGTTTCCTCCATCAAACTTAATTTTTTAACAACCATTTCATCGGATGGGTTAAAAAATTGTCCATCGGTTATTTCTTTACTAAATATAACTGTGTCAATCCATTCAAACAGGAAACGGCTTTTTATGAAGTTAACAATTGAAAATCTTATACGTAAACAAAGATTTTGGTGAAGACCTGCAAAACTATATTCTAAAAAGTATGACTTGACAAAACAAAAATAAACATTACACTACCATAACAAAGTTAATACCTCGAAACAAGAAATATAAATTAACAGAGCAAATGTTTTCCTTAACTTAGACTATGTTCCTTGTTTAAACTATCATTACAGTTTCTAAATTTTAAACTGAAAACACTTTGTTTAAACTAACAATTAGGTTAAGCTAGTAAACAAAAATAAAGTCAACAAGAATGTAAACACTATGTGCACCATATGTTACCTTTATTTATAATACCTTCACTACATTCACATTAAAATGTGTTCACTTCATACTACAAGATGGTGGCTTGTCAATCGACTTCTGATAAAGTTATATACCAGCTGTTGTTATCTTTTATCACAAGTGCAGCATCAAAAGCTCTTAAATGTTTAATCACCTAAGCTTGAATTTGCATATGCCTGCTATTAGGACATCATGCATATACATGCTTTTGTGACATTTTCAAATAAAATAATCTTTGGTTTAAAAATTGGATTATTTTTTAAAAGGGACACCAAATTCGGTGTGTATTATAAGCTGAATATGAATATGAAAGCATGGTGAGTGTAATGGACTGAGATAATCTGTGTAGCTTTGTGACTGACTGATATCAGCTGTTTATAACCGTCTCGGAAATTGATGTATCTGGTTAATCTTTTTAAAAAAAGATTGAAATAGTTCAAATATAGATAAAAATCAACTAACGTTCGCAAATGTAGTTAGGTTTAATTCTGTACATGTTTAAAGCTTATTCAAGCTCATTTTCAGCAGCATTAATAATTCATACTATTCACAATAAATCACATCTAGCGATGTTTGTCAAGTATTTACAAACACTTATATACTCAGTATGCCTATGAATGTCATCGGTTTTGATAGCTCAGTGTATTCAAGAATGTGTAAATAGTGGCAAAACTAAACATTTATTGTTTATTTCTGTATATATATATATATATATATATATATATATATAAATTATTAAATATACAGCTTGAGTATTTAAAAAAATTGTAAACATTTAAAAGTTTGTAGCTTGAAACATGTACAGGATGAAACATAACTACATTTGACACCATCTAGCAAACAAGCAGATTTTCATCTGTAATTGAATATTAGTCAAGGCTGTTCAAATTCAATACATTCAGGTGTTTTTCGATTGCCCTTGGCTATAGATACAAAAAACCATTCAAAACTATGTAGTAGACATTCCATTCACATACTTACATTATAACCAACTTGGGAAGAAAAGCATTATTTCAATTGAACTGGTGTGGTAGACAGTTTTCATTCAAATGTACCGACTTTTCATATGAACCAACATTAAGTAAAGTAAAAAGTTGGTGAAAACAAGAATAATACCCCCGTCGCAGCAAACCTGCAGACTAAGCAAATTTCCATCTACTTGGCTGGAATTCCACTAAATAATTCCTTTAAAATTGTCAGATTTACTTCCTATTTAAATATCATTAATTTTGATGAGTACTTAAGTTTGCTGCTACAGGGGAGAAAATAGTTTTTTTTTATTGAAATATTGATAGCTTAGTATGAAGTTAACAAAATATCAAAATTTAATTAAAATATGTCCATAAGAAAGCTACAACAGTTTATTTATTCTCCATAAGAATAACATTGTATTTTAAAATTTAGACTTTTTTGGGATTTTTTCCGTAACCGTTTGACATACAACAATTCTTCAATATACTAAATTATTTGTTTTCTTTAGCTCTACAAAATGGTTTGGAAAAGAATTGCAAAATCTTATGTTTACGGGGTGAAAATGGGAAAACCCCCATTTTTACCCCATAAAACCCCCCATAAACCCCCGTTCCCATAATCTGGTTATGCTGGTTCGCAAACTCGTTTGAATAGACGTAGGTTTACACGTTTTTACCAAATTTCATCAAAATCGGATAATTTTTTGCTTGAGTTATCATGTTAACGGACACACATATAAGTATATATATATATATATATTTATATATGAATTTGATCGGACGGTGTTTTTGGCCTCTGGGGACCTCAAAATGAAAAAGTAAATCGGGTCCGGGTCCAGGTCTTACCATGAGACCTACGGTAATAGCTACTTAAAAAAGTAGCTATTAAATGTAAATGTATTTAAAGTCCAGTGCCTATAGGGAAATTCGCTAAAAGACTTAATGTATTTGAAAATTAGTTGCCAAAATTAGTTTAAAAAAGTACATTTACAAAAGATGAATGCACATATGCAGACACCCTAGAAATATGTTTTGCCTGGAAATGATTGAGTACAAAAAAGGGTTGAGCTCACAGGCTTATTAATTTGGCATGAAAATTAAATCTGAAAAAAAAACTCTTACAAGGTTGGTGCCAAAATAAACAAAATCTAGAGGTTAATCAATCAATCAAATCTTTTATTGTAGTCAGACAATATACATTGTATTACAAACGTCAACTTAAAATACTTCTAAATATAAACAATAAAATAGTGCTAATGAAAGTACAAAACTGGTACTATAACACTGATAACACATGAAAGAAAGTAATAAATACAGCGCAGGTGGACCTAGCTTAAAACTTTTTTATATAAATTGGGGATTGGAGTGTTCAAAAAATTCAGCAACAGGGTAACATGCGTGTTCTAAAAGGTATTCTTTTAACTTAATTTTGAATTTTGCTTCTTAAATTAAGGATTGTAGATTGGCTGGTAATATTAAGCAGTTTTGGCCCGAGATTTTTAGGTAATGATGCAGCTAATTCCAATCTATGAGAGGTTTGTCTATGATGGTGTCTTTGCCTGGTATTATAATTAGGAATATCTGCACCAGTTACTATTGTTGTTGATTTAAACCTATAATATAATAGGTAGTATAAGGTCGACTCTAATGCAGTTTTGACACTTTTTTGTTTATATCCTACTAAGTATCCGTGTTGATATAACTGTTGAAACATGAATACATCACTATACTCGGGAAACTAAGAGTCAAAACTTTTGAAGGAAATCTACATAGCAATGATGAAATTGGTCTAGGTTAAGTAACAAATAAATAGCAAAACAGTTACTGTATTTTGGTCAATACAAACACTGAGTGTACAATCAATTTGTTTTAGCGTTCTGAAGGATGAAAAAGTCATGGAATTTTACACCTCAATGTACAGCAGTATTCCATCAATATCTTTCAGCAATCATAGGTAAGTTAAATATGATGTAAAACTGGTTATGGCTTCACAATTAAATAAATACCTTGTGTACTAATCATAAACACTGATAGGATCTCTGATTTAACTATGTCCTGACTATAGGTAGGACATCTAGAGAGATAAGCCAATGCAGGAAAGAACTTTATTTTGAAAAGATGCTCTAAATTAAGGCAATTTTGTTTATTTATAATTTACTGTATTTCTAAGCTCACAAATAAAGTTTAGTACTGAAACAAGTGTATTTTTAATCATTTAATAATTTGTGTATTATGTAGAATATTAATGTATGCACGATAGTTTTAATGATCTGTTATTCTAGCTCTGTGTGTTTTCTCCAGGTAGTTTCAGTTTTGCACTGGTTGGAAATGCAGAAGGTTGGCCGTCCCCAACCCTCCTCAAGATGAGAGACATGGAAACTCCGATGATCTTGGACTCCAGCCAAATATCTTGGATGGTCTCCATGATTTATATCGGACACCTCATCAGTCCAGTGCCAAGTGGAATGTTGATGGACCGATATGGTAGGAAAAGAGCTATCCTCTTATTATCACTGCCTCCTCTTTTCTCGTGGATTTTGATCTGGTTAACATCTTCAGCGAGGTATCTGTACATTGCAAGATTCCTTGTGGGCCTTTGGGCTGGAGCGGTTTCGACAATTATACCCAATTACATCGGAGAGATTGCTTCGCCAAAAATACGAGGCTCATTAACGATGCTAACTGATCTGATGAGGAATTTAGGAGTGCTTCTAGTCTACTTTGTCGGCCATTATGTTTCGTACACAGGTCTTGCTATGAGTTGTGCAATTTTGACATTAGTGTTCATAGTGTCTTTTTCATTCATGCCAGAATCACCATACTACCACTTAATGTGCGGAAAAGAAGAGAAAGCTTATGAATCACTCAATTGGCTGAGAGGGAAAAAAGGGAAAAAGGTTGATATCGAGTTGCAGAAGATGAAGGAAGCCATCGAGCAACAGCTGATGAACAAAGGGTCTTTTAAGGATGTTTGGAATAACAAAGGAAACCGGAAAGCGTTTATCATCTCTGAATTTTACTCTGTGATGAAAAGATTGACAGGTTCGGGTGTTTTACAAGCTTATGTTGCTATAACTCTGCCTTCTCTAACATTTGGGATCTTGAATCCAGACGATTGTGCAATCTTTTTTGGATTAACTGGTTTAACTACTTCATTCGCGACTGTTTTTCTCGCTGTTCATTTCAACCGAAGGTCTCTAATGACTCTTTCTGCAGCTGGTTGTGGATTAACCATGATGCTAGTTTCAACATGGTTCTATCTCAATTCTAACACAAACTACGATGTGGAACCATACAGTGACTGGTTGTTTATTTGTTTTATAGTTTATAATAGTATGTTTGCATTGGGACTTGGTCCCATAGGAACGAGTTTGAGAGGTGAGTTATTTGCTGCAAATGTCAAAGCAATCTGTTCTTCCCTCACAACAATATTAGTTGCAGTCACCTCATTTATCCTAAATAAATTCTTTTTGATAGTAGCAGAATCTTTAGGTATGCATGTAAACTTCATAATTTATACAGTCAGTTGTGTACTTACAATAGTGTTTACATGGGTGTATGTCCCGGAAACTCATGGTAAATCTTTAGAAGAAATCCAAAGAGTGTTAAATGGGGAGAAAATTGGTAACAAGACTGAGAAATTGAGCAAAAGCAGTGTTGAACGGTACTAACTACCTCATCACCATTTTTTAACATTCTAAGATGTTAATTATTTTATTGTCTCTTGTTAGAGGGGCAACACTTATCAATACATTCACCGGCAGAAAGAGACTTTAAATCAATCCTACAATCGCAATAGCTGGCTCCCCTTTAAGCTTATATGAGACTTGCTTGGATTAGGGAGTAAGTTTTAGTTTAGCAAAAACAGATCAATAATTAATTTTACCAATTGGGTTTTATTTCTTTTATAAGGTTTTCAAACAGGCCCGCGATTAGCATGTAGCCCGCTAGAGGCCTGACAAATAAATACCCTTCCTCTTCCACCCCTTTCCAAAAATACCCTTCCTTTACCTACCCTTAAAATCCTTCCTTAAAATACCCTTTTCTGCACTTCCAACAAAGCTAAACCTCTTGTGCCCCTGAGCCCAGACCCATTTACAGAAGCAGTTGTATACTTTTAACTGATTGATCCATCCCTCTCAGATATCAATACTTTAATGACGTATGGTTGCTAGCTTGTACCATATTGAGCAATTCTCCCCCATCACGAATTCGAGCAATTTCGATAAATTGTACCCACCATTATCGAGAATATACCTGCTCAAAAGCAAAATGCACCCAATTAAACTCATGAATACTTTGTTGTATAAGTCACTTTCTGTAATAATGTATATCTAGAATAGAATAGAACAATTGAATGGTACAATTTAGTTTTACATGATACAAACATTTATTTACAAGCACAAAAAGACAATGATCATCTGACCGTCTGTCAGGTTGGCAAGGTCCACTTTTCACTACATCGTTATGACATCATTACACTTCTACAAAATATTTTAAATATAACGCTTCAAACACACTTAAAAACTAATATAGAACTCAGACTGTTTTTTATTTATATTTATCATAATTGTTTTTTTTTTTTTTTTTTTTTTTTTTTGCTTCATGACATTTTGTAAGCTAATGCCTTAGCTGAAATCAGTGAAAAAATACATCTAGGCCTATACAATATACACATGCATGCATAAACTACAATAACATTTTGAAATTAAACCAAGGATTTTGAAAATAAACTATACAAGCTGTTGGCCCGTCCTACGTACGAGAATTGAGTACCTAGTCAACTTAAACTGAAGTCATGTCAATATTTCCAATTCTAATCAGAGCAAAGATTAAGCGGTTAAACATTTATTGTAAACAAAAAGCTGCCAAGATGAATTAAAACATGTAAACATTGTTATTTTCCTATTCTTTCCTCAAAAAGTAAAAAAAAAAATAATTTTCATAACCTTTTTTTGAGGACTCGAGGGCAGAGCCTCAATTTGTATACATTAGTGGTTATAGAATATTTCTCATTTCCTATAATCAATGGCAAAATCACAGAATAATAAACTAACCTGATAGTTCTATAGAATATTTTTATATTCAACCAGCTGTTAGTTAAAACAAAAATTATATTGCACTAAAACAAACTTAAAATTTTAAAGACTGCTCTAAAAAATATATCAGAATATCTAGCATTTTACCATGTATATTTAAATAGTCTGTCATCCTCTTACCAAATAAATGAACGTATCAATGAGTATACATTACATCAATGAGTATTATTTTACACATAGTAAAATAAGTCAACCCTATGCATGCCATTATTTTCCAAATGCTGAATTTGTGTTATACACACATTAATACAGCTGTTACTTTGCAAATAGTATTATACCAAAAGCTAGTGTAAAATGTTAGCGTAGGCTGCTACCCTTTTCAAAATTTTAAACTTATTTTCTAAAAAACTGAAACCCTAAACTAAAATAATGGCTTCGACATTCCCTAGTTCTCAAAATGATCTTTCTTTCAACACAAAAATCGTGAAAATCCGTCAAGTGGTTGATTTAGAATCGTGAAATAAATTAGTATAACGTTCAATGTACTGTAGTGTGCAGTGAGCTTTTAGTACAGCTTATCACGTTATAGTATTTATTCTGATAGCCCCTGGACTAGGTATAAATGACTTTATAGGCTTACCTCCGTCAGTAGTCCAAAATGTGTCTAACTTCAAATAATAAATTTGTTCAAAGATGACATGTTTCGTTGCAATGCAACATCGTCAGAGCTTTACGTCAAAAACATCAAAATAATTTACACATACAGTACATACACACGACACGGGACACAGCACATTTAGACTGTTATCATAAATAATTGATTGATTCATTCATAATACTTAAGAGCGTAATATTTTATAGGTTTATAGGCTAACAGTTATCTCTAAAGTTTGTGATTCTTATTAGCTTTAGATATAGATGGATGTATCATATAGTAGCTTCCACAAATACTAGAATAAAACCCGGTATGATTCATAAACATATACAAATAATGTTGGCCCGAATCCAATAATAATAGCATTAACATATGTTTTGGCAGTTCCATTTAAACAATGTTATATAATGTTTATTTTTGGGACAAAAATGTCATTGTTTATGACTATGATCCATACCGGTTCTTTTCAAGTATTTATTTATGTTATTTATTTATTTACAGAGTGCCATTACATCATAAGTAAATGACAGGACATTGTCAATTACAGTATTTATAGTACTTAAAACCAAATAGAAGTATTAAAATTCAAACAAAATTATTTTAATACTTAAAATCCTACCAATTTCCACTTAAAAATTCATTTAAAGAATAAAATGTTTTGGTTAGCAACCAGTCTTTGCATTATTTTTTAAATTTGTTTGGATTGGTGATGTTTTTTAAATTATCAGGAACTAAGTTGTACAATTTTTGGTCGAATATATTGAGGTGATGCTTCAAATAGTGATAATCTATGACTAGTGGGCTTAATTAGGTTCTTATATCTAGTGTTATACTTATTACTAATATGATTAGGTACATACCTTTACGTCAACAGTTCAATTATGTAGTAAGTAAACTCACAACATGTTTCGCCTATTCAGGCATCGTCAGGTGGTACCTAGCAAGGATGCTTTGTCTTCATCCATGATGGAGTCGTCAAGAAACATTTAAATAAATACACACACATTACGCACGAAAACATTTCAATTATACAAAATTGAACTGTTGACGTAAAGGTATGTACCTGATCATATTAGTCTAATAAACAGTTCAGGGGCTAAATCATGAATTTTAGTTATACTTATGGTTTGTTTTGCCCTCCCTGAAAATGGACAAATTGTTAAATACCCAAAATAATGCTTCTAAAATATATAGGTCGTAAAATGTTAAAACTTGAAACGCCTGAATGATGGTTTTACATGGAATTCTTCGGGGTACTTTGGCAATAATTCTAAGTGCCTTCTTTTGAAGGCTAAAAAACGTTTTGCTATGGCAAGAATTTCCCTCCACAAGAATTCTGTATGACATTAAAGATGAAAAATATGAGTGATAAACTGTTAATTGAGTTTTAGTGTCAGTGACTTGAGAAATTGTTCTGAGAGAAAAAAATGCTGAAGAAAGTTTTTTTCGTAATTTGTTAATGTGAGGAAGCCAGTCAAGATTTTCGTTTATATGAACACCCAAAAAATTGACTGTCTCCTCAGACATAAACTGAGAATTTGGAAAAGGGATTTGTTTTAAACTATTTCTATGATCTGATCGACAATAAACTACTTGAGTCTTGTCCATGTTCAAGGAGAGCCGATTTACCCCAAACCAGTCACTCAGAGCAGCCAATTCTGTATCTACTGTGTGCTGCAGGGATCCAACATTGGGTCCCTTACATAACATCATTGTGTCATCTGCAAACTGAAATATATCCATCTTTGACAAGTTTGGTAGGTCATAAATAAGAAACATACAGAGAGAGCCAATATTGATTCCTGAGGCACACCTACTTCAACTTTTTCCCGATTAGAATATACACGTTGCCCATATTTGATAAATTTAGTCCTTTGATATTGATCCCTCAAGTATGAAGAAAGCCTAGCTGTTATTTTCTAGTATTCGTGGTAGCTTCAGTAAATTAAGTACAAAAATTGTAAATATTAAAAATAAATTAATTTATACTTAGTAACTTCGTTTTTTTTATTAAAACCTTAGTTAAGTTAGGGTTTTTAATATCCCAAACTTAATCTTAATAGTTAAAGATCAATCATGGACATTGATTATACTAATCTTATACATTGAAAAGTGACAGGACTTTTTTTTGTATAGAGCTCATATCCAGAAGAATTAGCACAGGAATTTTTGTGATAAGAGGTATTTTGAAGTTTACCGATTCTCGTGTAACCTTGAGTGCCTATTATGGACTGATTTACCCATTATTGTCGTATTTGGTGGCAGTTTGGGGCTGTGAGACCGTACGAACAAAGTTTGTCTTCCGTCTTCAGAAAAAAGCCCTAAGAGTAGACTTTAGAATATACTTCTTGCAAGCCTCTCTTCAAGAAATACAAATATTCTTAAACCTCCATCCATATACATACTAAGTTGTCTGTCGTTTTTAAAAAGAAATTATCATCTGTATCAACCACAGTTCCATTCAATGCGGTACACACTCAGACACCAAAACGGGGGTAGGTTAGTTGCGTATTTGCTACCTACATTAATCCGCGTCCCGTAGGGTGGTTTATAATCCGGTAGGTTAGTTGCGCATTGACGGCTTGAATAATAATCTCTTGAAATTTAAAATGAAATCTTAATACAATTTTCAAATCACTACAACGTCACTTCTCGAGTTTTACTCTCAGTGATGGTCAACAACTAACTACTGTAAATATGTTCTCTGCTGTAAACGCTGTGGTAAACAATGTGGTATAACATTTCTAGGAATTCCAAAAAAATATTCCTTAAACTATGGAAAACGGGGGGAGAGAGTATTTGTAGTACGCGCGGATGGTATGCGGTTGCGATCACTTACGCCCTTTTTGGAGAATTCAAGCATCTAGAACACGTGGTATTCCACATGTTCACGTATTTTTTACATAACTATTATCACAACTAATCCAAGTGTGTATCTGTGCAGTATTATTACTATAAAAGGTCAAATCAGTATTATTACTAAGGTCAATTTTGAAAGTCATTTATGAAACAGGTGATTTTCCTTAATCCTGAACCTAGAATTTGTGGAGTATCAGAGTATGTATCATTACTATTCCGAATTATTTATCGGATACAAGAGTATTCAATATTTGGATACTTAACTTCATTATGTTCAATATTCATTCTACGCCGGCTTTTAGCAAGGCTAATTACGCTTGTCTAATGAATTGTAACCCACCTTTGTCCATATTAATGCGCAACTAACCTACCTACTTAAGGGGCCCACCAGATTAAAATGCGGAACTAATCCTCCATTTATGGCCCTAGGGTCATTATCTGCGCAACTAACCTACCACCACAAAAACAATATCAAGCTACCTAAGCACAGGACAAGATTCTTTGAGAGGCAACAAACTCTTTTATAACAGTATTACGTTTTCCAATGTATTGCCTGAGCCCCTGAAAGTGGAGCAAGACAAGGACAAATTTGGGAGAGCGGTCAAACGCATACTTTTAGAACTAGGGTTGCTTTCAGAGAGGTGAAAGCCAGTTGAGCGGAACAAACGTGATTTGATATTTGTATAAGTAACTAAATGTAAAAAAGTCAATAGATGTATTAATGCTTGTTTTATTGATTATAATTGTAATAATTCAAATTTGTTTTTACTACATCTTGTTATTCAGACACCTCTTCCAGAAGTGCATTGGTAGTTTTGACCAGGAAAATATTACAGTAGTTGGAATCTGATATTAACATCCAAAAAGGGCATTAAAGTATAAAAAAGAGAAAGGAAATTTAACATTCAAATTCAACTTTAGCCTACAACAGAAACATTGGTGTTCATTTTTCACCCTTACAATCGGTTTAAAGTATTTAAGTATAAAAAACAGTAACTATTTAAAAAAACACGTGAGTATTAAAGTATAACATCAGGAGGGAAAATTTGACATTTAAATTCAACTGTGCAACATAAACATTGGTCTTCATTTCAACCCTTGCAATCGGTTAAAATCAGCTTTCTTTGCTGAAAATAATTTATGATTGTTAATACCAAGAATTCTTTATATGATTGTAATGTAACTGGAATGTAGGTCTTCCACCATTATTGGGACGATTTAGAGACGGCATTTTAATACTGGCCTTAATAAAACCATTGACCATTGGATACAGAAGATTTTGATGAAAAAGCTGGCTATAAATTTAACATGGGGATGGAATGTCTAGTTGTATTGATAGTCAAAGATAACCGTGGTTAAAAGTGTACTTCTATAAGTCCAGGTAATTAATTATTTACTTATTACGGTTATAACTGGACGTATGTATAGTCCGTTCTTGGCAATCAAATAACAGTATTTATATAGGATAGGCTACTGTTATCAACATTTGAAATTACTGAATTGTTACCAAATTACTGTTTCATAAAATGCAGATTCCATTTCAGCCGAGCCATTAAAATGAGGATTTGCCGAACAATTATTAATATTACAGAATAGTATTTAATGATGTACAACTTTTCACATTTCATAAATTATATGTTAGTTTTGCAATGGGCAAAGGTCCAAATCCAAATGTTCTTTTCTTTTGGTTTTTATGAAGTAATTTGCTACAATCATTGACTTTATATAAAGTCAATGCTAGAATACAGTAGATGGTTTGTTAAGACCATATGCAAACATTTTTGAAATCGTTTCCCCATTTAACCAACTATTCCAAAAGATAAAAATTATATGGTGCAACACAAATAAACAACTCGATCACCTACCTATAACCTACACTTTACCTTCCTAATCTAACCTTACTTCAAAACATTTAATGTAGTCACGAGTACTCATAAACCCCGACCTACCTTCCCCACATGCCTAAATTAGATCAGTGTTCAATCTGCGTTTTATTAATAAGTGTAATAACTTACTGCACCGTCGATGTAATTCAACATAATATAATCTGTGATGTATTATCGGATTAAATATCGATTTCGATGTGGTTCGATATATCGCTTATTAAATCCTGATTTCTAACATTGGCTGTTTCTAATCAGCTGGCAACACAAATAGGTTCCCATCCCAAGAAAGTAGTCACTGGTCCGTATCCCTCCGCTCCTTGTTTATGCTCCGCGCATTGAGAAAGTAGTTCCGTATATTTTCTCGATTTTCAGTGAATTCCGCGCCTTAAAAAAATGTTGTAACAGCATTTTCTTGTTTATTAAAATCATAGGAATGGTTTAAAAACGTTTAAAAGAAAAGTATAGAAAGTTCAGAAATACCTTATGATTCTCTTGTTTACATTTTTCTTGTAAACAAAAAAACTGTCATAGCTACTTTAGTCCCATAAGCCTAATGTTAAAAATTTAAAAATTTAAGTTCGTTTTAAATTGCATTAGCATTATCTAATTGAAATTTGTTTGTTTACAAACCATCTCATTATTAGTCTAAGTAGTCTTGTTAAGTTTGGCTGAAATGTGTTCAGCCGTTATTGAGTGATGGTGTTATATTGTTTGCATTGAAGTTGATCCCAAAGAGCTTCGCTCGCTTCGCTCGCTCCGCTCAACAAGCTCCCTACACTATGAAAGAGTTTTTAAGTTGCCTATGGAATTAAGATACTGTTCTGTTACATTTTAGTTCTTATAGTATTTAGAATTTAGTTTTATTTTACATTCTTATGATGCTATTATACAGTTTTTCTGTGCAAAATAAAAATGATTTGATTTGATTTGAATTTTGAAAAGAAGGGAACGTCAAAGCCAGTTTAAAGTTTCAGTTTTTTTTAGAAATTAAGTTTTAATTTTTTTTAAGTCTAGCAGCCGACGCTCATTTTAATGCTGATTTAACCAGCACCTGGTTCCAAACTGCCACTGAAATGCTTATGTTACAAGATATTTTTTTACAAAAATATTGATTTTCGTTGTTTGCCTTTTCCTACCATAAAGGATCTGCAAAACCAGGAAATGCGCAAAATATAAGTAAAATATACGAAATATGGTTTACGTGTTGATAATCTTTTTTCTTAATGTTCGAATGTGTGTATGTCG